AACTTTGGACAGAAACTTTTTTATGAGCCAAATTTTAAAAATATTTTTTTCATTTTTCTGCATTTTATAGATAAATGGACTACGATGTTTTACACTTAACCTTTTCTATTAAGTCGAATATTTTCAGTCACCAACTACTTTGTCAAACGTTCAAGGAAGTTTATAAAATTTGGACCAAAGCTTTTTTTGTTATCAAAAGCCCAGAGCCAAATTTTGACAATATATATATATATAAGTACGTCTGAACCAGTGACGACTCTACAACAGATTTTATTCATCGGATCACCAGCAGTGATGCTGATACAAGGCTGAAAAGGCGATTTGGTGCCACGATATATCAGTAGCATGAGTTCGAATCCATGCTAGGGAAGAACAAAAAATTTGCTTCCGCAAATTTACAGATCTAACATTGTTGGGCTGTTGTTTAGACGAATTATATATGCACATATATATATATATTAATTGATAAATTAACTCACCAAAGATACCAGGATTGAAATTTTGAATATGCACCAGACGCGCGTTTCGTCTTCAAAAGACTCATCAGTGACGCTCGAATAAAAAAAAATTTAAAAGGCCAAACAAAGTACGAAGTTGAAGAGCATTGAGGACCAGAAATTCCTAAAAGTGTTGCTAAATACAGCTATGGTAAACTATTCCTAAGGTAGAAAAGCCTTAGAATTCAAAAATGTAAAGTTTTGTAAACAGTTAATTTATAATTATGACCATATTAATGATAATTCATGTCAACACAAAAATGCTGACTACTGGGCTGGTGATACCCTCGGGGAATAAAAACTCCACCAGCAGTGGCATCTACCTAGTGGTTGTAAATAAACTCATCATAGATACCAGGATGGAAATTTTGTATTTGCGCCTAACGCGCGTTTCGTCTACAAAAGACTCATCAGTGACGATCGAATAAAAAAAGTTAAAAAGGCCAAAAAAAGTAAGAAGTTGAAGAGCAATGAGGACCAAAAATTCCTAAAAGTTTTGCCAAATACAGCTTACGAATGACTTTGGTTTTTGCAGTCAACAAGTAGATGCAACCCGCGGTTTAATTTTATTACACTGTATATTTTTCTAACCTTTTATGAAAATTCTGCAGATGCTCTAGATCATAATGCTAAAGATATGATATATGTAGCAAAATTGCGAATATATTTTTGAATAGGGTTCCGTGGAAACTTTTATGATTTTTTTTACTTTAATACTGCTTCTATGTTAGAGCTATTCAGAAAAAAAGACTGGGAGGACTGAAGTGATTATTAAATGTGTTGGAAATATTGTTATTTCAGTACCTGTTCTCATTTTTGTCTCCCGGTCTCATTTAATGTTTGCATACCCTTTATGTCCTTTTTCATATAAAAAAAACTCTGAACAGTAACTCAATGGATATATACCCATCTCTGCACATTAAACAAACCACATGGAAATCGGTTTAAAGACAGAAGGATTATTTCCGAATTGATCACGTGGTTTTACCTCATCAAGTAAATGATAACCATATCAAAGAATGACCAAATCAAAAACTGAAACGAACACATCATGTTGTGTAAATTCGTCAAAATTTGAAACATCATTACATAATATCAAAGCCATATAAAGAATTGACAAATCTCCATTACGAAATAACATTAATACATCATGTAATAAAACAACTACATTACGTTAACCGACATTCACATTAAGTGATGTTAAAACCACATTGTCTAATGACACAATTACATTAAGAAATATATGGAGTATCATCAAAACACCATTTAGTAATATTATAACATCATTAAGTAATGTCAAAACTATATTATGTAAAGACAAAATATATTAAAGTACTTATTATAATAAAACCTCATAAAAAGAATATTCACAAAAATACCGAACTCCGAGGTAAATTCAAAACAGAAAGTCCGTAGTCAAATGGCAAAATCAAACGCTCAAACTCATCAAACGAATGCATAACAACTGACATATTCCTGACATGGTACAGACATTTTCTTATGTTGAAAATGGTGGATTTAACCTGGTTTTATAGCTAGCTTAAACTCTCACGTGTATGACAGTTGCATAATGTAATGTCAGAGTACCACACAAGATGCTGTTCATTAAGCCGGCTATATATAGTTTTTTAAAGTGATTTCTCGTAAGTTCAGGTATCCAGTATTAATATGTAATATTGGCATCGTTTTTTTAAACCAAAGATGAAAAGAACATAATTTTTATGCTCCACTTAAGGGCATTTAGTTATTCTGTCTGTGCGTCCGTCGGTTCGTTCGTCCGTTCGTCTAGTCCACTTGTCCCGCTTAAGGTTAAAGTTTTTGGTCGAGGTAGTTTTTGATGAAGTTGAAATTCAATCAACTTGAAACTTAGTATACATGCTCCCTATGCTTGATCTTTCTAGTTCTAATGCCAAATTAGAGTTTTCACCCCAATTTCGCGGTCAACTGAACATAGAAAATGAAAGTGCGAGTGGGGCACATTAAATTTCTCTTCCTAGTCGATTTACGGGATATCGACAAGGAAGAGAAAATTTAATGTGAAGTACAAAAAATGATGATCTATCTACCATTTTGTGCTTTTAGGGTAATGATTTGTCAAGTTCAGATTCTCAGAAATTTATGAAAATAAAGACGGAGGGTTATAGTTTGGCGATTATGAACCAAATCATACATTACATATTTTTCATTGCGCTATAATTCGACAGATTGTTTTATTTTCACAATCTCCAATAAGTGTTTTAATCTTGATATCTAACACAATTTCTTTCTTCTATTTTCTCAAATGTCTTTAATCTATCATGGTAAATCAGTCGTCTAAACAAAAGAATATACCGTATAGCGAGTAATTTTTGCTTATTTTGGTGGATGAAGGAAAATCGCGAAAATAGATTCCACGAAAGTTTATGCATAAATTCGGTACTTTCTAATAGCTAAAGAGTGTAAGGTACTCTGTCAGGTATTTATCCTTTTTAATTATTGTCAAATTATATAAGAGTTGTAAGTTACTCTTAATAACTTTATAACATAATTAGTACATCAAAGGTCAATTTCGTGACTAATCAACCGTAACATTGTCAAGAAGTTTGTAAACCTGTGACAAAATATATTGACTGGATCAAAAAATAATCAATAAATAAGACATCATGCTGGTAAAACAACCATTTAACCATTACAGTAGATACTTGTTTATCATTTTTAACTCTTTAACTGCAACGCTTTAAGATAAAAGCCAAAATAGTTAACTGGGATTTAAAAATCCACCAAAATGTTTTAAATGAGATTTAAGAATCAGCAAAAATAAAAACCGCCAAAAATTTTCATATACTTTGTTGCCCCTAAATCGCTAAATTTTACAAACGCTAAAATAACCCGCTATACAGTTATTAAGCGTATTAAGCGTATTAAAGAGACAGTAGTATATATTATAAACCTACGTGATAATAATGGATTAACATTTATTGATACTAAGGTAAAACGGTTGGTACTGTCCTCCTGTAGAACATTTGCAATATCTTATCTGGGAGCAATTGCCCTTATATATATGCTAAAAACTATTTTTGGTTTATCCAATCAAAATGTTTACAAGCCTGTAATAGCACTAAAGAATACAATGTTTTGTGATATAAACAGTTTAAAAAGGAATAAATAGAAGAATAAATCGGTTTAAAGACAGAAGGATTTTTTCCCAATTGATCACGTGGTTTTACCTCATCAAGTAATATGATAACCATATCAAAGCATGACCAAATCAAAAACTGAAACGAACACATCATGTTGTGTAAATTCGTCAAAATTTGAAATATCATTACATAATATCAAAGCCATATAAAGAATTGACAAATCTCCATTACGAAATAACATTAATACATCATGTAATAAAACAACTACATTACGTTAACCGACATTCACATTAAGTAATGTTAAAACCACATTGTCTAATGACACAATTACATTAAGAAATATATGGAGTATCATCAAAACAATCGTGGTTTGTATTATACAAATCGAGAAAAATATTTTCGTTCATGAATTCTTATATTTCTGTGAAAACGTTTTTTCCCACTTTTAATATTTTTGTCCTTATTAAGTTTAAGGTTATCTATGAACCCAAATTTGAATATGTTATGAAGAATACACATTGACTCACATGCATGTAATTCTCCCCCGACTGCCGTTAGTCTTAAATGCAATCTGTGTGTGCTTATTATTTTTGTTCAATACTACAAATCATATATGATAATCAAAATTGTTGAAGAGTGCCAACGTAATGACATAATGGATAATCTGTTGCTTGTGTTTTAACAGCAACTGATACTATCGTCGTTATTGTGCGAAATGTGTGTTGTTCGATCAATGATTGACTGTGAAGTACTAAGATGACCTATGCCTTTTATCTAGCATTTTTTACCTCGGCCATGCTGTTGCTTGTTATTCGACTAATGACTTATTGTCAACCCTTCCATCCTTACTTTGATTCCTGTAACTGTTTTGGAGAGGTATTATTTATCATATGAATAATTACATAATCATATCTATATATTGCACATTCTTTTGCTACCAACAGTCTTCAAAAATTCTCTTCCTTGCCTTTAATTTGTATCTTCAGTCAACAACCGACATATTATATACATCTATCTTATGTCTGTCCAACCGCTATTCTGACAAACTTGGCGCCCGGTTTTTACTACATTAATATTTTTTTTTATTGGCGGAGTTTTTTTTTAGACTAGTCTATTTTAAACATCAGTCATTAAATTGATGATTATTATCACTGCCTAAAACATGAGTTTGCTCATCGGAGCTTTGAAATCTGATTAAACAAAGTAATTGTGTTCCATCATATCTTACGCAACTGTTTTCCCTTTATCAAGTACTGAAAATATTACAAATTTATTCATCTGAATATAAGACGTTTAAAGTTTCGAAATAAAAAGGTAACTGCTATGTCTTACACCTTCAACTTCTTATTTTAAGATAAAAATATTTTTAAACAAATTGCTGTAGATTCCGACGTGCAAAAACTAGAGGCAAAGACACAACTTAAATCTATGGAATTACAGCCTAGAAAATTTGAAGGTGCTAGATTAGATCGGCCACAGGACAAGAGCGATTTTAGGTGTAGAATATCAGAACTTAGACGTGAATATGGTAGGTAAAGTTAAGCTATATAGTAAGATACGTATTACTTTGTTACGATTAACTAGTATATGGTATTCCCTATGGATAGAAACAAATAAAAAAAATGTTTTTCCTATGTCCGAACTCGAGAATCATCCGAGAAACATTAATTGTCGAAATGCACGTCTTATCCAGTAAACTTGCTACCGTTAGTGTTATTGATAGCGATGCATTTCGCATTCTGATATATTGATGATGTTCTTTCCATTGATATATCGTCATGACTAGAAATTAAAGAAACAACAGACACGGCTTCCTTCGCCTTATTTTTAGACTTATACCTCAATATTGACATAAGCGGTAATTTCAGTACCAGAACCAATGATAAACGAGACGATTTTAATTTCAAATTATAATTCCCCCCACCTTTATATACCATCTCACCTACATATGGGACACAACTCATTCTGTATTCAAGAGCGTACAGCTACTACTCAGAATTTATAAAACGTCACCAGTGTCTGAGCAGAAATTATATAAACAGGGGTAATATCAAAGAACGTGTCGTCTTTTCATTTTTTAATAATATCAAGACCTTCTTGATCAACAAACCGTACCAACTTCACAATCAATACATGATGGCTTGAAGTATAGATTATAGGTACTGAAGTTGTTTATCATCTTATTGTAATCCTGGTTTCTATGATGAGTTTATTTACAACCACCGGATTGATACCAATGATTGGGAAGGTTTCTTACTCGAGGGTATCACAAGCACATCTGTGTTGACATAAATCATCAATCATATGGTCATAATTATAAATCAATTGTTTCAAAACGTATGCATTTTCAATACATTAAAGATTTTCAAAAATAGATTACTTCAGCTGTATATTGTAAAACTTTCCAGAATGTTGGGTCTTAGTTGGATGTTAGTAGTTACAAGTTACCTGCAGTACAAGACATCCATTTATCTCAGATCCTTACAGAATAATTTCAAATTCAAATTAAATGGCTTGAGTTCCATCACCAACAGCGGGTTTATAAAATTCAGTCGTTTTTTCAATGATTGTGAATATAACTATTCTATCATTTTTGTTTCCTTATGGATCAATAAATAACTGACAACTAATTTTCTTTACATACATCATAGTTTACTTCAATTTAACGATAGATCATTGAAGAGAAACCTAAAGGCTTACCTATAGGTCGATATCTTGACTGGCTGACTGTCAAAGTAACACCTTCCCAGTAGCCAGTACTCCGTGTAATAGAATGTACATATCCTTATTCGATGTTTGTAGAAATGTTAATCTATTGAAGTACAAGAGGTCCGTTTATGTTATCTTCAATTAATGATATCAGTTGTAAATATCAGCTTTGATGAATAACACATTCCTTGGAAAGGACTAACATTTTTTAATTAAAAAAAATAAGGGTATCAAGGAATGCATCTCTATGTTTTGGTTGGAATACATATTTGACAGTGATTTTCAGGAGTTTCGACAAGTTAAATACTGCTGAACCTGTCGTTAATACAGAAAAGCAAATAGTGTTCAAGAGTTAATAATCAATACAGGAAAATTTTAACTTTGCAGTTGACACATTAAATTATTTTGTAAAGTCTTGATATATTTAAAGTATACATATAACATCAGTAGAATGCTACGTACATATTTGTCATAGATTGTTTGGATAATCTTCATTTCCTTTTTATAGCTGGAAATTCATATACAAAAACAGAAGGACAAAAGGGACTCGCAATCATTTTGTACAGAGATCGAGGTTATATTTCACATTTAACAGGTAAAATTCATTTTTCCCTTGTGGTGTTTAGTATACTGTTGTTTGTCTTTTTGACGTTTATTTGTCATGGCCTTTTCAATTTTGACTTTGATTTTCCATTGGTATCTTTCAATTCGTCTTTGTCCAAAGAAAGATACTAATCGAATTTTTATAACTTAGAAGTGTAAGCCTGGTGAATATGTCCTATTTTGTTTGAAAAAGAAAGAATTTATTAAGATTTAAAAAAAACCTAACAATACCAAGTCCAAAAATGTAAAAGACAAAAACAACAAAAACGAAATGAAAATTTAGAAAACTGAACAAAGAAACCCAAATAAAAACCAGAAATACACTTTGGTACTTCCTGCTACCCTAAAGACGCCTATTGAAAAATAGACCGATGATTTATATCCAGTGATAATGCATTTTATATATATTAAATATATCAAATTGTCTTACCAATAAGACTGAAAGTTTAAATGAAATGAGGGTTTCCAAGGTCAAGAGATACACAAAGTTGTTCTAGTAATGATAGGCAATAACAAATACTAAATAAAAGATATACAACATTGATGACAAAAGTAGCACAAACCCATTTCAAACAGAACTAGGGTAGGACTCAAGTTCTGCGATAGGGTAAACATATTCTGCTCCACTCGTTGCACCTTTTGTATTGCTCGTGCATATAATAATTTATAGATAAATTGCATTCGATAATTATCAATTGAGGAAAGGAGACGGGATTGTTGGTACCACAGGTGGAACTAATTCCTGGTCATCTTTGACACCTATGTTCCATGAAGGTCAACCTAAGGGTGATGGAGTCCGTGAAGTCATGGTACAATGGCTTTCCTGTAAGTAGAAACCCTCTTACAGAAACAAGGCATAATAGTAAAGTAAAGAAAGCGCTGAATTATCGGATCAAACAAGATCTTTATATTTCATACGCAGGTGGAGCTAAAATATTGCTTCACAGAAATGGAAGTTTTGAATGAGAAAATCTACAGCAAATCTTTTGTCGTAAAGATAAATTGTATACCGACCAACGTTGTCAATTTCTAGATTAAATCAAAGATTAAAGACAAACTTAAAGGCAGCTGTGATATCTTTTATTTGAGTGCATTTGGGATAGACGCACGAGGTCACCAAAATTGAATTTTTCGTTGATAGGATAGATATCATGTATATTATAGAGGAAAGTTAAGGCATACTATTATGCCCCTTGTAATTTGTTTTCGTATTATTAATCATTCGTTCCATCCACATATCCATTTTTAATTATACATTTTTGTTTTTAGGAATGTTGTCGAGGATTATGAGAGGTAAGATATTGATTATAAGATATATAACCTCATACTATAAAAAGTGGATCTCGAAGAATCTCAAAATGATATAATATCATGATATCTCGGCGTATGCACTTTTGTGACTTTTATGCAATGTTTTTTAAAGGCAGATTAAGGGAGAGTTGAAGCAAAAAAATTTCACTTTGATAATTCACACAATGTTTTTATTATGAAGTAAATCAAAATATATTTTTTAATATATATTGTAAACATAAAAGCATACACAAAATCAGTACATGGACAACACAAACCACAAGAAAAGCAAAGGAACAGCGTTTGTGATACTGTTCTTCATCTCAAAGTCACAGTGGGGCCTTCAAAGTAAAGCAAAAAACTCTCACCTCACTGCAAGTTTAAGACGGCTCCTAGCACCAGTTTGAGCGGAATTCTTTGCAAAATGATTCGGACAGACTTTGTAAGATATACACCATAAAATGGGGCTCGATTAAAAAGATCGTACTGGAAAGTAGTACATATTTGTTACAAAATAGTTCCTACGCATAGGTGTAAATATCAAACTATGTAGATTATTTTTTGGTAATATGTGCATCAAATGAAAGGTTAAGGATTGGTGATCTTTCTAGAATACATTTTGACTGCAAAAATGTATGAATGAATTCTTAAATTGAGGGCATTAATATTTCCTGTTTTTCAGATATGATGTACCTGTTAATATATTATCTATATATTCAATGTTATCTAGTTTAATACAAGATTGAATTTCCAATTATAGTAGAAGTTAGAATGTAAATTTGTACTTTGAGATACATGATCTTACATAGTTCCAATGGGAACTGTAACATATGTATTTGTCATCTGTAGAATATATTCATTTGTTCGAGGCTTCAGCTTTATTCACTTGTTCTTGTTCAATGTTTGAGAGACAAATATATGATTGCATACAAATGTGGCTTTTGTACGTTATTTTCAGGCTATATACATAATTCATAAGCATATATAAGTATAGCTATTCCTAAGTTGCTTAATATCTTGTGCAAGTCGTTCATTTCCTTATCAAACCTGTTCCTATAGATTTTTTTTAAAACCTGTTATCTAAATCACAGGGTACAAGTCCGTTTATAATTTCAGATCCTGATGTATCTCATTTAAAAGGTTTCTTTGAAGAAATGGGATTTGTTGTTAAATGCTTTGAAGGAAGGTACAATGCAAATTTGTACGACGCAGAAATGTTTGATGGAAATTGGTATTGTGTATTCCTGGCATCATTACGTTATGTGGTATGTTAAATTAAAGATACATTTGTTTGGTTGTGACTAAGACATAAATCATCTGGAAAATATGGCTAACTATGCTTCAGTTATATAATGCTAGATCACCATTTTACACAGTTTCTTTCACAGTTGATATGTAAAGTGTTTTTTTACTAGCTCATACTCAAACTCAAACGCTAAAACTATCATGTGCCATGAAAATACCCTTTAAACAAACCCAGGGATGTAAACGCTAAATCTTTCGGCAACATGTATGTTCTTGTATTTGTCCGAAAAAATCATTATTCAATATAACTTAATTCAAAATGTATACAGTCAGGATTCTACTTCGTCAAAATTATCGCCCCATTACATAATTTTCATAAAAGAAATGAAAGCCATTGTAGTGATAAAGCGGTGTCAATTTAGCTCTTGAAAATTTATCCACATAATATCATTACGATCCGTATATCCCTGTTGTATTTTAAAAGACAATGTATCTACTAGCTATTGAGCATCATTTAATTTACTTTATGCAATTGGTAATCTTAAAAATATTGGCTGATCGGTTTCGGTTGTCAGGCGGAAATTTCGAAAGTTCAAAAATCTTTTAAGAAATTCTAACTAAATATTTCGAAAGGTTTTTCCCACAAAAAAAGGTCGCCAGTGGCAGAGATGCAAATTAATGCTTAAAAAAGATCAATCTATTATCTTTCTTTTGGAAAATTGTAATTATGATATTCCACCAGAAAGGTTACAGTAGTCAGTGTATTGGTAAACTGCAATAAAACAAAAAGCAATACTTACAATGTGTATAAATAGAACATATTATATTGAAATGCAAATATTTTATAAAACAATCACATGAAAACGAAAGTAGAATTTACAGTTCAAATCTCGGATATAGATAACTTACAGTTCGTATGCATTTGATAAATTACTATTGTATCACTATTAACACAAAATTGTATACAGTCGTTCTCTAAGAGAAGAATCATGTCCACGATTGGTCGTGTGTAGATGGTGGCTTTTCTATTTACGAGTATTCGTACTTCTGCTTTCCGGACATATTCGTCTGAACTTTTAAGTGAGTTTAAATATAACTCCTATGGGCCATTGAGTACGGCAAAGGTTTTTGTCCTTTAGAAGAATGACGTCTTCTTCGCTGAGATCACGGCGATCTTGGGTCCATTTTCTTCGTGGTTGTAGTAGCGGCAGGTACTCTTTTCTCCAATGGGACCAGAAAACACTGGCCAGAGCCTGTACACGTCTCCATTCGGCTAGACAAAGATCGCGTTTGTCGAATTCTCCAAGCTGATCTGAAGTGAAGATGTAGTCAGTCTTTTGTGTCAATAACATAGCTGGAGTTAAAATTAACGGATTCTCTGGATCTGTCGATCTCGGTACCAGTGGTCTAAAATTCACTATTGCTGAAACATCTGCCATTAACGTGATGAGCACATCATGCGTAAGGCTCCTTCTGGCGGCATTCAAGAGCATAGAATCAAGTATTCCCCTGACGATACCAATCATTCTCTCCCAGGCTCCACCCATGTGGGACGAATGCGGCGGATTGAAGATCAAAGTTGTACCGGAATTGTACAGAAAGTTTTTGAAGGGTCCATCCTCAACGTTGATTGAGTCAATTTTCAAGTCATCGATTGCGCCAATAAAGTTTGTTCCACGGTCGGATCGGAAGATCTTAACTTGGCCTCTAACGGATGTGAATCTTTTGACAGCGTTTATAAAGGCTAAAGAGCTCATTTCCTCGATGAGTTCGATGTGAACAGCTCTTGTCCCTAAACAAGTGAATAGAATTGCCCAACGTTTGGAGTTGACATATCCACCACGGGTTTTACGTGAAACAATTGTCCATGGTCCAAAGGTGTCAATTCCAACGTTAGTAAACGGAGGTGATGATTCAAGACGGTCCTCTGGCAAATCAGACATAATTTGACACTCGGTTTTTCCACTTAGTTTGCAACATGTCACACATCTGTGAATAATTGAGGAGATCAGGCGTTTCACTCCAACAATCCAGAATCCTGCGGATCTAATCGCTCCATCTGTGAAGTGGCGACTTTGATGTTTGATCTTGTCATGGTAGTGTCGGACTAATTGTGTTGCTATATGATGACGTTCAGGGACTATCAAAGGTTTCTTTTCACGGAGGTTCAAGTCAGATTTTGCAATACGGCCTCCTACTCGTAATAGTCCTCGTTCGTCCAAAAAGGGGTTGAGGTTAGCTATCGGGCTTCGTTTCTGATTTTTTTCCTTACGTCGAATGCTATCTATTTCTTCTCCGTAAACGTCGTGTTGTGCGGACATTAAAATGAGGTTTTCGGCATTCGAAAAGTTTTCTAGCGAGGTCACTGATTCTGCCTGTTTTGACTCGTGTAAACGGGAGAAACGTTCCAAAAAGGCTATCGCTCGCACAAGTGTTGTCCAGTTGGAGAATCGGTTGAATCTATCAGGTCAGATACCTTTACGCTCAGGTGTGGCATATATTTTTGCAACATTAACAGTTGCACGGATTTCTCGATCTTCATCAGGATCGACGATTTGATATTCGTCGTCGGAATTTTCTTACTGTTTTGAGGAAAGAAGTTGTCTTGGTCCTAGTAACCACTCACTACTATGAATTTCGTTGGTTGGTACTGCTCTTGTTCCCGAATCTGAGGGATTACGGTTAGTTGGAACGTAATTCCATTGAGTTGGAGAGCTACACTTTTTTATTCTTTCTACTCTATTTGCAACGTAGATAAAGAATCTTCTTGTCTCGTTACTGATGTAACCGAAGACTACTTTACTATCTGTGTAGAATTTCACAGTGTCTATATGTAAATCTAGATTGTCCATGATACATTGTGCAATCTCAACTGCTAATACGGAAGCAGATAGTTCTAGTCGTGGAATAGTGTGACCACTTGTTGGAGCAACGTTTGCTTTCCCAAGAATGAACCCAAGGTTTAGTTCACCACTACTGTCGGTCGTGCCAAGATATGCAACAGCTGCTATGGCTTTTTCGGATGCATCAGAGAAGACATGCAGCTCCTTGGTGACGGTCTTGCTGAGATATGGCACGTAGGTACGTGGAATACGTAGGGTTTTAATAGCTAACAGAGTATCTCTCCAAGATTTCCATTCAGTTGCTTTGTCATCAGAGAGAGGTTGTTCCCAGTCGACGGTTTCAGATACTATTTTTCATAGTAGGAGTTTTCCGTGTATAATCCCTGGAGCTAAAAATCCAAGAGGGTTGTAGATGCTGTTTATCGTTGATAAAATTCCTCTCCGTGTTATCGGTTTATTTTCTGATGACAATTAATATAGGAAATTGTCAGTGTTCACGTCCCAGCTGAGTCCAAGTCTACGTTGCAGGGGTTTGCTGTCAGCTTCTAAGTCCAGATCCTTAAGGTTCGAGGCCAAATTACTGGCTTGAAATGCAGACATAACTTCCGCACAGTTAGAGGCAAACTTGTGAAGCCTTAAGTTTCTGTGGATTTAGCCGTTGTCAGGGTGACGCGATGCTCGTGTAAAGTTTCAATTGTCAGGTCCACTTTGGACAGTCGAATATCTGTTGAAAGATTAATCGTATTAATGTCTTTAAGACTGTCCAACGTTCTTGTATTTTTAGAAATTTCAGGTACTCGTCTGTGAGCCTGCGATAATTAGTACAGGCTTGTACAATTTTATATTGTGCTGTTTGCAATTGCTGGATCTCGTTAGGAGGCGTGGTCTCTTCCAAACACTGGAATTCTAGATCTGACCATAGGGCCTCTAGCTCCTGATAGAACTTGTCACGTTTCTCTGTAAAAGCTCCCTGTCCCTTTTCGTTAAATTAACGTACTCGCCTAGTCTCGAGATTTTCATTTAAAGGTGTTGTAATAGACGGATTCTCTACTTGTTCTTTAAGAGCCAATCTGCCAGAAAACCATGCAAAACCGTCCGAATGTCACTTTTTCCAAATGAGTTCATATTTGGCATATTGATGCACCTTAGTAATGTAAATAACCACACAAATTTTTTTGGGAAAATATTAAACCGATCTGGATATTTTTTGAGCGCCATGTTTTAACAGATGAAATGGCTCGAAAACAGCAAAAATAAGCCTTTTTGGCATATTTCGCTGGTTTAAATAAAAAAATATGGTAACATTTATAATTTTTTGATAGTTGTTCCTAGTAATACATCACTTTAAGTGTAAGAATGCATAGAATTAACAATGCTGTCTATTAAGTGTATGTATAATCTAACTGTTTCAATATGTCTTATTTAGCTACATGTCCAAAATGGCTGATTTTGGTCATCTTTCAGAGCCAAAATACTCCAAGACCCGTTTATTATTGTAAAACAACATATCTACTTGCAAAGTATAACTATATATACCCAATCAAAAAAAATATCAAGCTCGGCAAATAATGTTGGTGTCTGGTATATGCCACAACAAAATGGGGTAACCTGCATATTCAAATTTTCTCAATTTTGCCATCTAATTTGTAACTACTGACATATGATAGGATCTGGACTTATAAATAAGTATAACAACAAATGGAAAAGAATAATTAATGTTTCATTTAATACATTAAGAAAATAATCATACATAAATACAAATTATTCATTATAAATCTAGAGGCTCCCAGGAGCTGAAATAGATCGTATTGACAAATTGTGCACCTAAAACGATAAAAAACACATATTTCAAACGCAATCAATTTAAATTAGAAGTTAAACAATTCAGAATAAGTTTAGACTGTAAAAAAAAAGTTTCTTCTGACCACTTTTGCAATTTATTCTTATAATATATTAATATAGTTGTCGGATAGTAGCAGAAAACTGTGAAAATTTGTAAATTTACACATTTCAGGGACAATAGCTCATAGATGTTATGTCCAATTTTTATATATATATATATATATTGAAAAGTTTTTAAATTTTGTATACATATATATATATGTATGACACTTCTTCTAAAGTTATTAAGATGATGGTTTAAAAGTGAAAACTTTAAACAGATGATTTTTACAGACAGTTAGTGATGGAAATTTTTTTATGACCCTTTGAGCCTAGTATGCTAACAAGGCAAGATTTGCCAGGTACTTATATCTATGTTGCTGCAATGTGGTCAATACAAACATGAAAATCATGAATGCTTCTAAAATGAAAGAACCTTAGTGAGCGCGCTCACATACCCCACGTCCCCACATTGTCATTGGAGAAATAAAATAAGTGTAAGAAAAAAAAATTGAATCATAATTTCCTGTCAATATGCACATCGACGTAGTATGTCCTTATTATCTACACAGTTTCATGAAATTCTGTTGTGTGGTTTGAGAGGAGTTGCAATGACAAAAGGTTGCAGTAGTATATTGGGCAAATAAGTTCAAAGGGGCGTAATTCCTGGAAAAAAAATTGAATCGTAATTTCCTGTCGATATGCACATCAACGTAGTATGTCCTTATTACCTGAAAAGGTTTCATGAAATTCTGTTGTGTGGTTTGAGAGGTGTTGCGATGACAAAAGGTTGCCGTAGTATATTGGGCAAATAAGTTCAAAGGGGCGTAACTCCTGGAAAAACAATTGAATCGTAATTTCCTGTCGATATGCACATCTACGTAGTATGTCCTTATTATCTGAAAAGGTTTCATGAAATTTTGTTGTGTGGTTTGAGAGGTGTTGCGATGACAAAAGGTTGCAGTAGTATATTGGGCAAATAAGTTCAAAGGGGCGTAACTCCTGGAAAAAAAATTAAATCGTAATTTCCTGTCGATATGCACATCTACGTAGTATGTCCTTATTATCTGAAAAGGTTTCATGAAATTCTGTTGTGTGGTTTGAGAGGAGTTGCGATGACAAACTGTTGCAGTAGTACATTAAAGTAAATAAGTTCAAAGGGCGTAACTCCTAGAAAAAGAATTGAATAGTAATTTCCTGTCTATATGCACAACTACATAGTATGGCCTTATTATCTAAAAAGGTTTCGTGAAATTCTGTTGTGTGGTTTGAGAGGAGTTGCGATGACAAGAAACAGGACTGACGGACTGACGGATGGACGGGACTGACGGATGGGTCAAAAACATTATACCCTCCGCAACTCGTTGCGTGGGGTATAAAAAAAATCTCATAACTAGACGAAAAACAAATTACTTAGTCTATATATACCAGTGCAAAATTTATAAAGAATTTTGAATGAAATTGGATAGCTGTTAAGATTACTGTTGTGTGGTTTGAGAGGAGTTGCGATGACAAAAGGTTGCAGTAGTATATTGGGCAAATAAGTTCAAAGGGGCGTAATTCCTGGAAAAAAAATTGAATCGTAATTTCCTGTCGATATGCACATCAACGTAGTATGTCCTTATTACCTGAAAAGGTTTCATGAAATTCTGTTGTGTGGTTTGAGAGGTGTTGCGATGACAAAAGGTTGCCGTAGTATATTGGGCAAATAAGTTCAAAGGGGCGTAACTCCTGGAAAAACAATTGAATCGTAATTTCCTGTCGATATGCACATCTACGTAGTATGTCCTTATTATCTGAAAAGGTTTCATGAAATTTTGTTGTGTGGTTTGAGAGGTGTTGCGATGACAAAAGGTTGCAGTAGTATATTGGGCAAATAAGTTCAAAGGGGCGTAACTCCTGGAAAAAAAATTAAATCGTAATTTCCTGTCGATATGCACATCTACGTAGTATGTCCTTATTATCTGAAAAGGTTTCATGAAATTCTGTTGTGTGGTTTGAGAGGAGTTGCGATGACAAACTGTTGCAGTAGTACATTAAAGTAAATAAGTTCAAAGGGCGTAACTCCTAGAAAAAGAATTGAATAGTAATTTCCTGTCTATATGCACAACTACATAGTATGGCCTTATTATCTAAAAAGGTTTCGTGAAATTCTGTTGTGTGGTTTGAGAGGAGTTGCGATGACAAGAAACAGGACTGACGGACTGACGGATGGACGGGACTGACGGATGGGTCAAAAACATTATACCCTCCGCAACTCGTTGCGTGGGGTATAAAAAAATCTCATAACTAGACGAAAAACAAATTACTTAGTCTATATATACCAGTGCAAAATTTATAAAGAATTTTGAATGAAATTGGATAGCTGTTAAGATTACTGTACCTATAATGCTCTACATCACATCCTCGGAGATAACAGAATTAAAATAAGTCATATGAATCTTCCAATTTCAATAAAGTTGAATGTGTTTTTTTATACTTGAACAGCTATAGGTTTTACTATAAAACAAGTGTACATTAACTTTCTTGTAAAAGAAAAACCAAAACATTAAAATCTCCATAAATGATGAACTGTTATTTTTTGAGACATCATCCCATGGAAGATTTAACTGATGTTTTAAAGTTGAAAAGTTTCTGTTGCTTGTTTGGTTGGTTGAAATTGTTTCTGTCAGAAGCATTATCAGTCTCCCAATCTGATGTTGACTGCTGTGAAAGTTCAGTTGTTGTTGACACTGACAGAAAGGTTAGCTGCGAGTCTAGATCTGAAAACCACAAAATATACATACATAAATCAGGCTGTTAGTTTTCATATTTTTTCATTTTCTTATTTTGGGGCCTTTATGGCTGAATATATATGCAGTATAGGTCTTGCTCATTGTTGAAGGCCATATGGCGTATGAAGACCTATAGCTTTACTTCTATGTCATTTGTTCTCATTGGCAATCATACCACATTTTTTTTTTATTTCATGTATACCACTGACAGGAAATAAAATTGACAACTTTTACTGTAAGTGGATGCAGTTACAAAATTCTCCCAACTAAAGCCAATTCATTTTTGCAGAATAGTTATTATCCACACCTTTTAAGCATGTCCAAATAGCCCTTAATATCTTTACAACAATAATAAAATGCTCCGCAGGGCGCAGCTTGATACGACCGCAGAGGTCGAACCCTGAACAGTTGGGGCAAGTATGGCCACAACATTCAAGCTTGATACAGCTCTGAATTTGGATTGTGATTAAATATTTGACACAGCATAGGTTTCTGACACAGAATGAATGTGGTCTAAGAACTTAAAAAATTTAAATTGGACATTCACCTATTATGGTCCAATATCCAAAATCTAAATACATGGTTAGATTCAGCATATCAAAGAACCCCAAGAATTCAATTTTTGATGAAATCAAACAAAGTTTAATTTTGGACCCTTTTGACCTCAATGTGGACGAAGTTGATAACGGGGCCCAAAAATCAAAAATCTAAATACATGGTTAGATTCAGCATATCAAAGAACCCCATATATTCAATTTTTGTTGAAATCAAACAAAGTTTAATTTTGGACCCCGATTTGGACCAACTTGAAAACTGGGCCCATAATCAAAAATCTAAATACATGTTTAGATTCAGCATATCAAAGAACCCTAATCATTCAATTTTTGTTAAAATCAAACTAAGTTTAATTTTGGACCCTTTGGACCTATATGTAGACCAATTTGAAAACGGAACCAAAAATTAAGAATCTAAATACACGGTTAGATTCGGCATATCAAAGAACCCCAATAATTCAATTTTTGATGAAATCAAACAAAGTTTAATTTTGGACCCTTTGGACCTCAATGTGGACCAATTTAAAAAACGGGGCCCCAAATCCAAAAACTTAATACACGGTTAGATACAGCATATTAAAGAACCCCAAGAATTCAAGAATAAAACCCCATTGAAATTGGTCAAGAAATAAGCAATTTATACGAAGTATCTTCTTTTGCACAATACTGTGCAATTGAATATTTCTTGCTATTGCGCAATACTGTACAATTGACAATTTCTTGCTATTGCGCAATATTGTGCTAATGGATATTTCTTGCTATTGCGCAATACTGTGCAAAGAATAGGTTTCTAACACAGAATAAATATGGTATAAAGATAAAGTTTAATAGATTCAGCATATCAGAGAACCCCAAGATCAAATTAAAATTTAAAATTTAGTTTAATTTTGGACCCTTTGGACCTCAATGTAAACCAATTTCATAATAGGGCCCAAAAACTAAATACAGGTTAGATTCAGGCTGAATCAGCATCTTTAAAATTATTGTTGAAATCAAACACAGTTAAATTATGGACCCCATTTGAACCAACTTGAAAACTGGGACCAAAATCATAAATCTAAGTACATATTTATATTCAGGATATTTGATTATTTCTATTTATCATACAAAGAACCCTAATTCATTGTAATTAGAGTTCAAGTTTTGTTAAAATTAAACTAAGTTAAAATTTGGACCCTTTGGACTTTAAAATGTGGACAAATTTGAAAACCGGACCAAAATTAAAAATCTAAATTTAAAACATTTGCATTTTGTATATCAAAAGAACCTCAAGAATTCAAGTTGTGTAGAAATAAGAAAAAAATTTTGGACCATTTTGAAATCAATGTGAACCAATTTAAAATGGGGCCCAATTGCAACATCTTAAATTATTTAAATACATTGTTAGATTTAGCATATTAAGAACCCAAATAATGTATTTATTTTAATTGTTCTTGTCCTAAACATGCATGAACTATTTGCCATTGGACATTAGCATTACCAACAACCAATCAATTAATCGAACAATTGAAATATCTTCAAAAGTACCAATAAAAATCTCCCCCTTTTATATTTGAAAAAGTAAAATCACAAAAATACTGAACTCAGAGGAAAATTCAAAAAGGAAAGTCCCCAATCAATTGGCAAAATCAAAAGTTCAAACACATCAAACGAATGGATAACAACTGTCATATTCGTGACTTGGTACAGGCATTTTCTTATGTAGAAAATGGTGGATTGAACCTGGTTTTATAGCTAGATAATAAACCTCTCACTTGTATGACAGTCGCATCAAATTCCATTATATTGACAACGATGAATGAACAAAACAAACAGACACAATAGGTAAAATTGTCAAAAATAGGGGTACAGCAGTCAACATTGTGTTATCATCTTAATCACTATAAAAACAAACAAATGTAACGAAGAAGCACAAAAAGGCATACATGTACATCAAATTTAACATCCTCATTTTGCTTATATTATACTATTTTATATATCTATGAAAAATCTACCCATAAAGGATGGAAGGTTTTAATTAAGTACTGGCGTAAAATCGCGCGTTTGAAATTCGTACAGGTAGACATAAAATAATTTTGTCGTTCAAAGTATGACGGGATACATAAATACAGAGTCACGTAAAATGGATATCACAAAAAACAGACTTAACAGTAAAAGTAATACGTATTAATAAATAAAATAATTGAAATGGAATGTATGAACAGTTCATTAGTCATTGTTAGTTATTGAATGGAAACTATAGGAGCCGCCCAATATAGTACTACAAATTAAAATTAGCAAAGTGATTTTTCAACGGGAAAACCAAGTTAACAAAGACCTGTTTAATAAAACTGATGTACAAATGTATAACATGTAATTGTATAAATATGTTATTATATAAGTGATTACATATACTTTGTATGATTACCATGTTATACAAACAGTTAAATTAATATATAAGTTAATAATAACTTACCAATATCTTCTTCTATACATGTATTTAGTTTGACCTGGCTATTGTCACTTTTACAAAAATTCATCTTAATTGAGCATTGCTTGCACATATATAGCCCTACAAATAAAAAGTGTTAAACTATAAAATAATTCTTCAATTTTGTTTTACATGAAATAAAATATATCAGACAGGAAATGTAGGGTAGTGTAGCATCACTGTGCATGTAGTTTAAATGTATGTTTTTTTCTTTTAAAAAGGGCTCTATAAGTAATCTACATACATGTACATGTAGGGTCCTAAAATTGAACCTTACAAAAGTTTGCAATGCTTTTGATTTTTTTAGTCTCCATGGCCTATTAGTTCATTAAAAAAATATTATTCTCTGGATAAAGTTGTCTAGTGTTACATGTACAGTTTGTTGTATGTAAAACATGTATTTGTAGGAGGCTTTTCCACGAGATAAAACTTTTTTTAGTACACAAAGAGCTGAACAACTTCCAGTAAGAACTGAAAATATAACTTAGTGGAAGAGAATAAAAACCTGACCTGCTAAACGTTGAATATGTTGAAATAGATTTTGATTATTATCATCATGATCATGATTCTGGTCTATAAATTGATTTTTTAAAGCAGAAAATAAATATGTATTGTACCCTGGTTGATAGCTTGAAAATTAAAATTCTGTCCTAAGCTGACAAGGACATAAATATTTTGACC